TCTGATCACAAATTTTTCTGGTAATTTTTCTGCACAGAACTGATGTCTTCATTATTAGAAGATTGAACAGATGCAGCCATATCTGATACATATATGCACATCCAGTTGCGCCCCTCTTTGTACAAACGAAACACCAGTTTTTCAGCTCGACTCGACACAATAAGTCTTTTCCTCGTCTCACAAAACACCTCAACCACGCTCTCTGTTATTGTTCCGACTTCCGACTGCCATAATTGAAATTTTAATAGGAGCAAAAATTATCACTTTGTACTTAATCTGGCGCGTGGGGGATTTTATCACAAAAAATCTCAAACCTGAAAAAAATAATTATTTTTAATTTTATTTTATTACATTTAATTTTTTCATGTTATTTCTGCTCCATAGACCTTAATTTAAAGGCAGTCCGATTATTCAGGGCTTTACCCTGATATGAGCCGTCTTGTTTCTTTCGCTTTTTTCTCTTTTTCTGCTGAACAATTTCCTCCTCTCTCTTTTAGTTGTGCATTGCGTACAGTGTACACGAGCAAATCGTATTTGAGCGCAATACCGATATTGTGTACAAACTGCTGACTGTCCTAATCCTTTCCTGACCCGTACTGTCTTATCATCGTTGTTATATTTCAAACTGCAACTCACACTCAGTTATTTCTTATGATAAGTGTGACTCAGAGCGTTAACGATGCTGATGGGGTAAAAAACATGATGAAGCTGATGGGGTAAAAAACATGATGAAGCTGATGGGGTAAAAAAAACTCTATGTAGCTGATGGGGTGAAAAAAACTATGTAACTGATGGGGTACAAAACAAACTGGTGGGGTAAAAAACACTATGTAGCTGATGGTGTAAAAAACACTTTATAACTGGTGGGGTAAAAAACACTATATAGCTGATGGGGTAAAAACCTAATGTAAAAACATGTAATGCTATTATCGCATGCTATTATCGCGCTAACGATGTTCTTGCCTTATTTTGTGTAAAGTGTAAAGATCAGGCATATAATTTAGTGTATAGCACAATTTGATGGAAACTATAACACAAAATCATGTAAATGGCATGTTTTCTATTTCTTAGGTAAAATATTTTCGAATGGGCCATACAAATTTCTTTTTCTGAATTTTGTATTCTGATCAGATGAATTTAATCGATGCCATCCGTGTTCATTGATTAATTTTCATTGATAAATTTGATAATAGCCGACAAGGTCAAAGTGAATTTTGAAAGGGAATTGTTTTCACCATTAAGAACAATTGAATAGCTATCTTAGGACCATCTGGGTTAGTTAACGGCCGAGTCAAAGAAGTTGATGGGCTTTCTGAAAAGGTTCTTCTGCTCAAAACAAGTGCTCTTTCTCAAAATCATAGAAAAGGCAGTCGATGTAATCTTACTCAAGTAAATGGTCAAAATACGATTGTTTCTGAAGGGCTGTGCTAAATTTAACGGTGCATTGTCTCCCATAATTATTCATGCTCCTAATCATATAGACTTGCACACATGCCACTACGCCTACACAGTCCGCGAATAATCTTAGTTTGATGAATATGCATTTCAAACCGACAAGAAAAGTGAGAAATATCAAGTCGTGTGCTCATTTTCACTGCATTGAACTCCAATACTTGTAGTTTCAGCATCAGAACGACTTTGAATACAGTTGTTCTCCTTCTGGATAAACTCCAAGAACTAACTCGCATAAACCAGTATACACTAGATCTACTGAGACTAGGAGATATAATATTAAGATTAAGATCGGAGTTAGACTAAGAAGTTGCACGAGTTTATCCGGCCGAGAACAAGATAGCGTGACGAGCAGACGGTGTTCTTTATCTGAAATTAGTCTATGAGTATAACCAATAGGTCATAACTCATCTAGTGCGACCAAAAGTCTCGAAAAAGACCTTACCTAACTTAGCTTTAGAAAAATTAGAATTAGACAATTGCAAAACTGCAAAAATGCTAAGCGGAATAGATAATTTAATAGAAATGTCTCTACGTCTCAATAAATTTACGCCAAATTTTCAAACAAAACAAGAAATACCAGATACTAAAAGAAGACCAAGATCGTGGCGTGAAAGATAATCAGGAATCGGACCACTCTGCTACATGATAGTACGAGGGAAGCCGGAACAAACTTTTGTATTTAGAGTACTTTATGCAGTAAATTCAAATTTTCTTTTACTGACATGAAAATGATCTGAAGAAAAAGTTCCTCAAAAACCTTGCTGGTGCTATATCTACTATCTATACAATAACGACTGATAACAATAGCACAAGTCGTTCCCCCCAAAATCTACAGTGAATCAAATTTTTTAATAAATAATTTATTAAATACAAAATACAAAAGTTAGTTAGTATTAATAATCATTGTTAGTTTTATAAACTATCTGATTCTCTTCATCCCAGCTTCATCACCTAAAATTCCCTTAAGCGACACGTTTGTTCATAAATTGAACTATCTTTGTAAATCAACAGTTGGGATTGATGCCAGTTGGTCATATCCTTCCTTTCGATGTGCCAGGATATTCCCACTGGCTGATATACGGGATGGGTTTACAATAAGGAAACACAAAAAATCGCACATATGAATATAAGGTCATGTTAGGTTTTTAAGCAATCAGACCTCAATGTGAAAATGAAAGCTACTTCACGACAGGAACTGAAAAAAAGTTATTGCCTTATTATTTTAGTTGAATACTTTTTTTTGGTTTAAATGTCAAAATCAAAGAATAAAACTCACATTTCACTAATAGCATAACCATAATGGGCAAACAGCTATATAAGAATTTCCTTCTAATTTGTTCATAACTTTCAAATTTTACGGTATGTTTACACGCAAAAAAGTGAGTTGAGGATATGCTGACATCAACAATGACACCTGGAGATCATTCTTCAACTCCGCTTATTTTTCAGTTTGTCAGCTGAGTTTTGACCTCCAAATTGCAAAATCTGAATTTTTGCGTAGTATAAATGGTTATTGTATGATTGTCTGGATAGAACTGTAGCTTCAACTTGAACACTACATTGATCGCCAAAACAAGATTGGTTCAATTGAAAAATTGTTGTATTGTAATAGAAAAAAAAATCTTTGTCACGTGCATGATAGCAGAAGTATTTCTAACAAGAAGATTTGCTTATATCTCTTTAACTGCAGAGACGTAAGACCAAAACTGAACAAAGTTGTCATTGATATCAACATCAAAGCTGGAGTAAGATCAAACTAAATAAAAATAAAACTAACCGCTCACACAGTATGCTATGTACCATTATTTTTGGAGCTAAAAATCTCCACGAATTCTTTTGTTTGTTCAAATAATAAGATCTAACAGTTCTACTAGCAAACATTTCGTCATTCGAGGCTCTAACGTCTGTAGCGTTTTAGGCTAAATGTCGCTTGAGGCATTGTTTTTACCCTATCAGCTACATTAGCTACATAGTGGTTTTGAAATAAATTAGTGTTAGTAACTCTACGTCGATAAACATAGGAAGCTTACTGGCACTGAAATTTGGAAAAGTTAGTAAAAATAAGTTTTAGTAAAACTCAGAAATAAGGTATCTATCTATCTCAAGTAAAGTAGTTTTTTATCTCACTAACTAAAGTTTGAAAACTTCAAAATTGGGTTTAACATTTGAACGAGACTAAATTAAGTACTTCATCAAGGAGAAATATACTTCATCAAATTATTTTACGGGTACTTCTCATTCAATTTGAATTTGTAAAGCTCGCCAATTGGAAATTCTTGAAAGCTTAATCAAATGCCCCAGTATCATTGATAAGAATTCATAGCAATTTTTTTTGTGAATTGTGAAAAATAATGTAAACTTATACTGTTAGAATGATATAAAAATGTATAATCTGATCACAATTTATTCAGATAAAATTTTTGCACAGAACTGATGTCATTATTATTAGAAGATTGAACAGATGCAGCCATATCTGATACATATATGCATGCCCAGCTGAGCCCCTCTTTGTCCAAACAGAAGACACTAGTTTTTCAGCTAGACTCGACACCTTTACTCTTTTCCCCGTCTCACGAAACACCTCAACCAGGCTCTCTTTTTTTTGTTCCGAGTTTCCTTACGAAAGTAACGGAATATTTGTGCTCGGGGTGGTTTTTTTCTTCAGACAAATTTCGAATTTTGAATTAGCCATTTTTGACAAATTTTTTTTTTTACATCATTCGAAAGCTATTTTTGTACTAAGCTTAAATTTGAAAAGATATTTTTTAATTGTTATCTTTCTTTCATAAAGTTATGGGGTTTAAAGATAGCCTTTTTGGTCAATTTGGGACAATAAACGCGCGATGTATTTCGCGCTATTAACGTGTTATCGAGATTTAATCCATCTTAGAAAAGCTCAAAATTGGCTCAACGAAGCTTATAAGCCATAATTGAGTTTTTAGTAGGAGCGAAATCTATCACTTTGTATTTAATCTGTCGTGTGCCTGGATGTTTTCACCGAAAATACCAAATTAAAAAAACGTTAAAATTTTTCATGTTATTTCTGCTCCATGGACCTTAATTAAATGGTCAAAATACGATTGTTTTCCTACGGCTGTGCTAAATTTAACCGTACATCGTCTCCCATAACTGTCTATGCTCGTAATCTTTTCATTAGTAGACTTGTAACCATGCCAGTACGCTCACACAGTCCGCGAATATTCTTAGTTTGATGAATATGCATTTCAAACCGACACGAAAATTGAGAAATATCAAGTCGTGTACTCATTTTTAATGCATCGAAATCCAATAGAAAATGCCAAATAGATTTTATAATATATGTTTTTGTCCCACATAAATTTTCGGCACTATTTAACTTCGGCAGTTGAACATCGTCGCTGTTGTTCAATTTTGCAAGTATTAAGCAAGGTTCAAACTAACGCATAACTATACCAAAAATCCAAATACAAATTGACAGACATTTCATTGATTTCAACCAATCATATGCCAGGAATTTCCAGTCTATTCATATTTCAAATATTGAACTCAACTCAGAATTAAAAACGGAAAGAAAGAAGATCTATTGATTATTGCACTTGATCTGTACAATACAACCTAAGGTAAATATCACTAGTAGTATCAGCTATCGTTATGTTATTATAACATTAAGTTTGTTTTTATCTAACCAACGGACCACGTATCACACACACTTCGCCAATGCAATATGCCGCGCAGTTTTTCTTCCTTGTTTCTCTTTTTCATCATTATACCAATTGTATGTTCAAATCAAACTCACAATATACCAAGCAATGTTTAATATACACGCAGAGTTATACCATTCAAAGCTCTGTACATCGAATATCATTTCAGTTTTCATTTGAAGACCAACGAAAGATTTTCGTCTTAATTTTAGTTATCATCCTGAAGCGATTTAAAATTTCTCGACCTTCTTTCGTTTACTTTTCGAATTTCTGTCTTTGGGTCGAAATTTCGCAGCCATTACTTTCCTCAACTTCGTAGGTTGGTTGGATACTTTTAGCCAATTCCGTTTAGCCAGAATCGAACTTGGCCAAAAACTCCTCCAAATAATTCCCGTTTTTAATTTCTAATGTACATTGGTTAATGAAGTCAATGAGAAATAACACATTTTAGGATTATCAATTCCAAATTTTGAATCATAGTTTTGGTGAAGAAAGTGGATAAACCTGAAAAAATGGTAAAAACAAAATAAAATTTGGTTAACAAAACAACAAAAGATAATCATTTCAGAGCCAATTTTGGGAGCAGAATATCTAGAATTTCCGAGAAGAAAATGAGATAAAAGAACAAGTAAAGCCAACTAAGAAACAAATAAAGGTTGTAGTAGTAATTAGAATAACACTATAGTAAAAGTAATAATAGGACAACAAATGGCAGCGAAACTAACTAAATATAACTGAAACGAAGGGCTGACAAAACTAATTCGGACAAACTCCATAAACTCCGTAACTTGAACCACCATCTGAATAAGCAAAAACGGAGATTTAATCGCGAACACGGTGTTTGCGGGAGATAAGGGGGGGGGGGGTTGATCTATAGGGCAGATAAGAGTCGGCACTTGGCTGAGGTTGAGTGATGGGTTGGGTGGAATCTTCGGGTTTGGTCTGAAACAAAAAACCACCAATTCTGTAAATGATTACCAAAACTTTCTCTTGGAACTGCCTTAGATCAAAACAATCAAGGAAAATATGGGTATAAAAAGGAAGATGCATTATGGTTTATATTAAAATTAGCTCGTTACGCAATAAACATTAATTTTTTTTTCATTTCTACTGCTTTATTTTTATTAGAATTTATATTTGTTATAATTTCAAAACGTATTAACTAAAAACAATTTGAAGAAAAAATCCCGCGAAAAGCGAGAGCCAATATGTAAAAAAAATTGAGAAGGTTCGAAGTGTACCTGAATTTGTTTGAATAACTAGGTTCTGGGCTTCGAGGTTGAGGTAAAACCTAAATCCATTCTATCGCGGAGTTGTAGGCCCAGGTGTGAACAGAGTATTGAGCATGGCTGGATTAAGCAGCACTTGGGTCGTACCTGAAACGTAAGAATTCAGAATAAGACCAAGCAAGCTTTAATAGCCAAATTGCATTTTGCTTGTTTCTGGGGCAATTTTGGACAAGCAGTTGAATGAAGTCGATATTTGAAATAGCAAAAACTAGAACTTCTCGCTCGAAACAAAACCAAAACTTAATTAATAATGCCAAACTGTTGGCAAAATTGTTTCGCACAACGACTTTAAGCTAAATAAAACAACCAAAAAGTTCTCTTTTACAGCAAAAACTAAATTACAAATTTTAACAGAGAAAAAGAGCCTTTGATACAAAAAAGAAATTCAGCATTCACGGTCACTGAAACTTCACGGAATCCACAAACTCAAATTTTGTACTCTAGAAAGAAAATTTGCATTAAATTATTTGCTCAAGGTGAACACCAACCATCCAGTCCTGAAGCTGCTGCAGCTGCTGCCAGTCTATAGCTCTGAGCTATCTGATCAACCACTGGGGAAGTCGTGCTCTGAGTTTGCTGGGGAGATGTCTGCGAGATCCCCAGCGCCCTATGATACGCCACCAGTTGCTGCTGGGCTAACAAGGAATACGTCGCCGATGGGTCCAGATACGAAACCTGCGCGGCCGCCGCTGCGAGCTGTGCCGCTGCTATTTGTTGTTGTTGCTGCTGTTGCTGTTGGACAATTGAAGCTGTGACCGCGGATGCCGCGCTGTTCGGCGTGCTTCGGGACGCTACGAGCGCATTTAGGTTTGCGACCGAACTCGCCGTCGAGATGATCAGATTCTGTTGGTTCTGTAACTGTTGCTGTTGTTGACCGTCGGCGGCAGATGGGCTGACCGGGACTTGCTGACTATTTTGGGGTGGTTGGGCAGAGCAAATCGAGGATCCAGGGTTGTTTTGTCCAGAGATGGATGCTGATATCGGAGATTGTAAAGGCGTGGTGGTTGGAGTGCGGCGGTTGTATGTGTTGACCGAATGACCATGCCCGGATGCGACGGGGCCTCCCGATGGTCCGTTGAGTCTACCGGAACTACTGTGATCGTACATGACGTTTGCGTTCGGAATTTGAGAATTTAGCTCCTGAAAATGAAACTTATGTTGAATTAAAGCAGCGGCTAAAATAATTCAAAATATAAAAGGATAGCCGGTTACTGTACAAATGGCACAGAAAGATCCGATCAGTCTTAAAAAAAATACATTTTTTTTTCAAATTATTGTCGTTTTTTTTGGCGTGGTGTGATAAAAGGAGCTGCACATTTTTTTTAGGAAAGTTACTTGAAAAATGAAAATAAATCATTACTTTTTTTCAAGTTTTGCAGTTTTTTAAGTTTTCACGTTTTAAATTAAGCTAAGCAGTTAAAATAAGAGTGCTCGCTCGCTTTATTCGCTCGAAATCAGACGAAAAATCAAAAATTTCAAACCGGTTTTTCTCGACACGGAGAATAATTTTTTGAAATTTTTGATAGTGGTTCGAATCACGACTGTAAGGGCTTTAATGTGATATATCACTCAACCCAGTCCGATGATTTCTTGTGGTATCTGATTTTGCGAGGAAAGCAAAAAAACTAAAACACAACCGAATACAAAGTTCCTCCCCTTTTTCAATGGTCGAACAATAACATTAGCAACAGAAAATTTCATTGAACGAGGAAACAAAAAATGAGTTTTTTGAACATTTTCAAGTATTTCGAAGGAAAAAATGTCGCTATAAAATTCTTTGAAGTTCAAGAAATCTTTTATGATTACTACTTTTTCATGAAACAATAAATCAAGTCGTTCATGAAACACTCAAAAGATCATAGTAAGTAAACAATTAATCAAATAACCTTCATAATGTTTTAGGAAAAAAAAAACATAAATATCAATCAAACAAAAGGAATGAAATAACATAAATTTCAAAATATGGAAAAAGAACAGCGAAAACAAGTACTTGTTAAATTAAGGCTTTGAAAATAATTGAAAATCTTGCCTGTCCGTGGTTCGATCCCGGAAAGAAACTATTCGAATCATGGTGCATTCCACTTTTGGACCTGGAAGGAACTCTCATTGACGAATGGGAACCATTTCCATTTGAGGACAAGGCCGCAACATTCACTACATCCACATTTGAACCGCCCGTTGCACCAGCGTGCAATCCCGACGCTCCCGTGCCGTTTGTCGCAATTTGAAGTGTCGACCCCAGCACACCTTGAGAACCAGTGGCCGCGGCGTGAATGGAATTACTTGTTGTTGATAACGGTACCGCTAACTGTTGATTCATCAAATGAAGCTGCTTCCGTTTTGACGTAATATCCGTTAATTCTCCTTCTAACTGTCTGTTTTCAGTTTGCAAATCATACAGGCTGGAAAGTAGAGAGGGAATGTTATACTTCTTTCCTTGGAGCATCAGAAACTGGGATCCCTGGTTCCACTGTTCTTCAAGAAGGCTCACCATGGAGTTCAGCGAATGTCCCCCTCCTTGGTTCGCAACTTGGGGGTTGGGTAACCCCGACTTATGTTCTGAACCCGTGGTGGGGGCAGAGTTAGGAATGAAGGGGGAGTTGTGTTGAGATGAGAGAGATTGGGTGGGGGCATTGCGATTCCCGACTGCAGCGGTTGGGTGTGAGTGGGGGTGTGTTAATTGAGGGTTGATTGCAAGTGCGGAATTTGGGTTGTTGTTGCTGTTTGTGTAGTTTGGATGGTGTTCGGCGGCGGCTAGATGTTGTTGTTGTTGTTTTCGGAATTGGTCACTGTCGGAAGACATAGGGCCATAGTTCGGCCCTCCAGAAATTCCTAGAAAAAGAACTCAAACTAATTTTCTGATGGAATTATGTATCTTCAACCATTTCATGTAAGTTTGATTTTGATGTGCACATACCACAAAAAAAGTGTCGATTGTTAGCTGATAAAAAACTTTGAGATCATTGCTTGAAACAACGGGCATGCTTGAGGGAGTATTTTATAGTCGGAATGATTTCAAGAAACTAGTTCCCTTGTTTTCTTATAGTATCACAAGTATTTGATGACATTATTTGAAAATAACCCATTAAGTAGTAACATTTTGTTATTAAATTCGGTATATTTTCCATGTTTTTGCTTATCGTGAAAATGGAAACTCACCAAACATTTTTCGAATCCAAGAGCGATGAGTTGCAAAATATTTCTTCAAGATTGAACTTAAAAACGAAGTCATGGTTTTACTGCTTCGCTTCAGTTTAGAATGTGACTTCTGTTAAATGACTTGACTTTTGAAGGAAGCAAAAGCGAACCAAGAAGTAATCTTTTCCCCAAAAAAGCAAATGCTTCATTCAAATTCAAAACTCTGTCAAGCAAGCTATACTGATCTATAAACCGATGTTTCCGACAACTAATAGAAAACGATGATGTGCCTCTGAATAAAATTTCATAATTTTTTTTTGCAAATTTTGTTCATGGGCTCGGAAATAAATGCTTTTCAAAATCATTGAGTGCTTAATCAGATCATTTAGAAGATGCAACGTCCACCCCCTCAAAAATATACTTTTAGCGGTACTTGTATAATTTCTAAAGAACAAAAGTCGAATCGCAAGAGCAAAACATAGCCAACAGACAATAGGAAAAGAGTCACGAACGTAGGGAAACAGTAAAAAAGCTTGAAGGGCATATATTTTTTTTCTGAATTTCGAAAGAAGTTTTTTTTTTGTTTCAAGAATAATTTATCATTAACACTTTTTTGATAAAATTAACTCACCTTGAGAAAACTGAATCAAAAGGTTAAATTTTTTTTTTTGCTAAAATTTGATAACTTCGATAAAAATTCAATAAACTCGACACGTTTTTTGTACCCTTTACACTTGCTGTTCGATAGTGGAGTTTGCCTTCCTTTTAACAAGGGAATGAAGTGAACTTAAGAAATCAAACGTCAAACCGGGAGAAATCATATTTCAGCGTGAACAAATTTTAACTTGTTCCAGAAAAAAAATCACTAAGATCTATACAGAGTATTCACTACGTTCACGACTCTTCAAAAAATTGAAACTGTTTTTCTCGACACCGAAAAGTTTTTATTGCAAATATTGTTCTAAATCACGTATTTGGGGAAAAAAACTTTGAAGTAAAACAACCAATGTCACTATGAGATGAGTCATAGAGTACCTACGGTAAGATTCAACTACTTCATTGCCTGTGGTCTTCAATTTTGTAACTCGAACAAATCGTAACCGAAATCACTGAATAAATCTGTAATCAAAGTCACAGGAAACTTCAGAATGATTGGATCTTTTCTCTTTTTTATATCCTTACTTATCACCAATATCCTTGCAGCATAGTTAGAAAACAACCATGGTCCTTCTAGACAGCGATTTTCAACATATTTTTTGTGATATTCAGAATTCAGAGCCAAAAGTACGATCAAATTGTCGAAAGATTACAAAAATCTACTAACCTTTAAGTTTCCGTCCATCGACAAAATTCTCCGTAAGCAGTGGTGACATATGCGCGCCCAAATTGTTCTCGGAGCCGAAAGATACAGTCGGGTTGATTCCCGGCGAGGACAAGGCAGAAGTCGACAAACCCATCAACCTCGGACTGGGTAAATTTTGCGACTGGTTCAATCCCGACAGATGTGGACTTCCTCCAGAAACTGAATTACTTGACTTCACTCGTTTTCCAGGAACTCCCGGCAAACTTGTTTCTGGTGTCGCGCCGACAAAATCCGGTGTTGCGGACGATCCGGTGCTTGATCCAGTGCTCCGTCGAGCAGTTGTTTTCATGCGCTGTTTCTTTAACGGCGGCGGGATATTTCCGGCACCTCCAGGACTCGAAATTTCTGGCCCGTTTTGCTGGGCATTGCTGCTGTTTTTCCGACCAGCCGCCATCTTTTCAGCTCTTTTTAAACTCGCCGCTGTCGGCGCTCCCGACTTTGAACTTGTACTCGAAGCCTTCAACCGTCCGGAATCATTTGCGATACCGCTACTGTTGTAATTGGCTTGTTGCTGTTGAGTTAAATTCGCATTGTGATATTGGAAAGAATTGTTATTCGATGTCGGAACATACGAAACTCCATTTTTCGGAACCCTAGGGCTATGTCCAGGAGTTGATACATTCAAAAGTAGATTTGCATCTCCGTTTGAGATTCCGATGTTCGACGTTGCAGTTCCTGACGATTTCAGGAACCCGTTTGGAGGTACTAGCGATGTTGAAGATGCGCTTCCGCATCGAGCCGACGTTGCATTATGATGTGAGGTGATGTTTGTCGAACCGATTGCTTGAGTTGTTGCGCTCATTGATAGGATATGGTTGTTCAAATGCGAATTCAAATTGTTCTGCTGCTGTTTTTCGGTCGACTTCGAAACATTCGCAGATTTGAAATCGCCGCCGTTTGTCAAAACAGAAGTTGATGCTGCTGCCATAGAATTGCAGTTACTTGAAAACGAATCGGAGAGACTTAATTTCGCCGACCGCGGGAAAAACGTGCTATGTGAGCTCGAAACGGGTGGGCTTCGTTGCGCGTAACTTACAACTTGACTTCGGTCTACAAAGGAAATCGGCGAAGTTGGTGAGTTATTTTGGGCTTGCAATTTGCGACTTGAAGAAAATATTCCAGATAAATTTGGGTTCAAATCGTGGCCGCTTAAAAGCGGGTTTGGATGTGTGATTCTGTTATTACGATTTGCATTACTCAAATGGCTTTCAAGACTATCAAAATTTTGGGTTATTCCTGAAGTTGCAGTTGAATAAGAGAGGTTGTTTTTTGAATGAAGGGTAACTGGGGATGAAATTGCGGTGGTGGTTGTTGATGATATTGGGCGATGAACTTCCGTGCCCACTACGTTTAGGGTTTTATGGGCTGCTGAGGCTAGACTTGAACGTTTTATCCTCCCACTGTTTCTCTGCAAAAATGATCAATTTAAGATCTTACAATAAGATTTCATTATAAACAGGTATATTTAGCGCCCATTTTTGCGTTCGAATAATTCGAACTCGAAACTAAATTAAATGGCGCAGTGATATCTCAAACGATAATTTTGTAGTTAGTATTCAAATTACGGTAATATCTGTCGCCATCTGAAAGGCTTAAACATGACGAAAATGCAAAGCTAATTACTGCGACATACTTGTTTAAGAAGTTTCATTTTAAAAAGACCTCGAGCTTCTCACAAAATGCACCACCTAAACCAGAACTTGATTGTACCATGACTACCTTTAATTTCAGTGCTAACAAAGCTTAGACGAAACGTATTTAATACGCGAATTTGTCCAGATCGCCTCAGGTTAGGAAATAAATTTCCGGTCTACAAAGATTTTGAAAAAAGCATCCCAACAATTTATCGACCGATATAATAATTGCCAACAGCAGAGAAAAAATAGTAGATAGTGCTTTATATGAAAGGTTGATAGAGTTATCAACCAAAAATCCAATTACTCAAAACTGAGCAGTAGGGTCTCCGCGCCAAGAGAACTTGAATTGGAGAAATTCATTATCCATCTAGAAACGAAATTATCAATTAAATTTACAGTCAAATGAAACTATGCATGTTCTTAGACTAGCGCAAAAATTCTAGCAGACAGTTGGAAAAGAGTCAATGAACGCAAGTATACAGAAAAAACTGACTTGTTTTTATGAAAGAACCTCAACTTCCGAACTTCAAAGATAACTAGATGGCTTAAAGCTCTTTGAATTTCTAGAAAACTCGGTGATTGACATTTTTGGATAGAATGAACCCAATTTGACAAAAATGGAACATAGCCAACTGACAGTTGGAAAAGAGTAGTGAATGTAAACAGAAAAAAAACACTGACTTTGTTGAAAAAATCTCAACTTTCGAATTTCAACGAAAAAATAGATGCCTTTTATGCTCTTTGAATTTCTAGAAAATTTATGATTGGCGCTTTTTTGATAACAATAACCCAACTTGAGAAAAATGGATCAATACGTAAATTTTTTATTCCACTGGGAATCTAATAGTTAAATTCCACTTTCGAAACTAAGAATCGTTTAGGTTTTTTCGCGCCATTTCACGTTAGTATTAGGAGAGTGCTTTTAACGTAATTTTCAGCAGATGAATTTCAATTGAACTCAAAAAGTGCATATAAACCTAAGTGCATTCATAAACGCATTAAAATGTATGGATGCACATCTGTACTTATTAGAGCATTTTCTGTCTTTTTCCTGAAAAAAAAACAACAAGGTCTGTAAAATAGTCTTCATTACATTAATTACTCTAAGTCAATAGATAAATTTTTCATTTCGCTGGGAAATCTGAAAATTAAATTCCATTTTCGAAACGAGAAGTCGATGAAATTTTCGAGACCTTTACTACTGGCTGTTAGATATTGGAGTTTTCCTTCCTTTTAACAGAGGAAATGAACTGGACTTGTACAGAAATCAAAAGTCAAACCGCGAACTAGTAGGCCAAACTAATTTTAAGACTTTTCCTGAGAAAAACACAAGAAAAATCATCACGGCTTATATAAGAGTCCGAACTACGTTCATCGATTCTTACAAATGTAATATCAAGAAATTTTCAAAATGCTCTGGAACACAGTCAAAACTATGGACTACAAACTTGATTTTTTTTTCAAACGCAGTCAGTCAATTAAACAAATTAGACTTCAAAACCAACGTTATACATTCATTCATAGACCTCCATGTTTACCAATTTCTGAAACTTCTGGGTAAAAGTTGAGAAGCCATTGGTCTTCAGAATTCATAGGAAGCAAAACCAAAAACTCTGAAATTACACTATCAAAACACGGCACTTAGAGACTTGGAAACTTGTTGATTCCAGAGAGCATCCAAAATTTTCACTTCCGACTAGGAAAAGATTTGGAAAAGAGTCATGAACGCAATGGAATTGAAAATAAACCGAAGTTTTGGCCTTAAATAAATAAAAAACGAAATGACCTTAAGTACTTTGAAATTGAAGAACAACTTATGTTGGATTTTTTTGATAAAATAAACCCAATTTGATAAAAAAAGGTTCAGTTGGTAAATATTTTATTCCGCTAGGATATCTGAAAACTGAAATCCATTTTCGAAGCAAGGAGTCGAGCATGTTGTTTTTTTTTCAATTTGCTGTTCGACAGTGAAGTTCACCTTCCTTTCAACAAAGGAAATGCAGTACAACTAAAAAGAAATCAAAAGTCAAACCGCGAAAAATTAAATTTGAGCGTTACGAATTCAAGACTTTTTCTGAAAACAGACTAACAAAAAATTCACCAAGACCAATAAAAGAGTATTCAGTACGTTCACGACTCTTAAATTGGATCCTCATAAAATGGATACCCAAAAAAAGTACTTAAAAACGAAGACAATCCGACCATCTGCTGTCTGATGTCTTTTGGATTCAGCAAATAAAACATAGCCAACTGACACTTGATTAATGAACGCAAGGAAACACAAAAATACTGAATTGATTTTTAAAAAACTTCAATTTTCGAATTGTAAAGAAATAAGATATGCTCTTAAAGCTCTTTGAGTTTCAAGAAAAAAATTTGATTGGTGTTTATTTTGAATAAAAATAATCCATTTTGAGGAAACTGGATCAAAAGGTAAAGTTTCATTTCGCTGTAAACCTGAGAATTAAATCGAAACTAGAAGGCGTTAACGTTTTTGATAACCATTTCAACGTTCGTATTTGGAGATAGCTATTGACCCAAATTTCAGCAGATGAATTTCAAAAGAACTGAATAAGTGCATTTATACCGTAGTGCATTCATAAAGGCATTAATATATATGAATGCACATCTGTAATTATTAGAGCATTTTTAGACTTTTTTCGGTAAAAAAAAAATCACCAAGAGCTATAAGATTCTTCACTTTGTTCGGTACTCTTAAACATAGCCAACAGACAGATGGAGAGATGTCAATGATCTCAAAAAAGACCAAAACAAAACGACTGACTTTTTGGAAAATTTTTAACAAAAAAGATATGGCCTTAAAGCGCTTTGAATTTCACGAATCTTTCATGGTCGACATGGTTTCGAAAAACTAACCAGACTTTAGAAAACTGTCAAAAGAACACTTCGTTTCGCCGGGAAATCTAAAATAGAAATTCACTTAAAACCATTCACGGTTTTTAGCGCCATTTGCACATGCGTAATTGGGGTGTTATTTAACATCAATTCAGCAAATGAATTTTAATTGAAAGAATTAAAAAATCAAACCGCAGAAATCAAACAAGAGCGTGAATGAATGCTCTTGAATTTTCCTGGAAAAAACACGACCTTAATAAGCGTCCTCAGTACGTTCGTTGACACTTTTTTCAGACAGCATTTAAATAAAACGATTACAGCGTGCCTCCCCCAAAAAAGCAAACTGACTATGACATAGTGGTAAAAACATTTAATCGATTAATTGCTTGTTACAAAGAAAACGTAAGCTTCTGCCTATTTACTTCTGGTATGATGTTTAGCTATTCCATACATGTTTATAATTGAAAAAAATACTGAAGAAACATTTTTAAGGACCAGCCTGTCTGCTCCCTTGACGCACGTTCCCATATATGCGCCAACTGATCAATAATTAGTTGCTTAATGGCGCCAATTTAAAAAGTAATGTAATACAGAAGTACAATAAAAAACAGCTGACTTTGCTTACTTACATGCAATTCTCGAACAATTCGCGAGCTCGCACATAGAACACACAAAAAAAATCATTCAGCTTTCATTCAGAAAAAAAAGGTGCTACTAACAAAATTGATTAATTTGGACTACAATTTCAAATAATACCGTGTTTGCATACTAATGTTACCTTAGCGCTCGGTAGCATGGATATTTCCGCTGTGTTTAGAAGATATTAAGTCATCTGAAACGCGATCTCCAGCTATATCACCTCCTTCGAAGAAACTGGTTCCCAAAGAATTTCATATCTTGAGGTCATCAAACATAGCCAACAGACCACGTGGTGCAAAAAATATTAAAAACCTGAAAAACTTCCTATGATACTTCCTATTTCAAAATCGTTGCAAGAATTGGATATCCGTATATTTTTTCAATTTCCAGACGCTTTTGAGGCTACAACTATTCCAATAAAATTTTCATCAATTACACTAGTCCTTTGCACAATTTTGAGAAGTCCATTTTTCGCTGACTGACCTTAAAACTTTACTATCTAAAAAGTTGCGCCAACCTATACTAGTTTTGAGGGGTGAGCGCGCCGAGAAAACGCGATTTTTTGGCCTAAATTGTCTAAAAATTGCATAAAAACGCCTGCGGCGCAGAAAATTTTGTCAAATTAGGGTCTTATACCAATTTGCGTGCGGCGCAGAAATTTCACAAATTTGCCTGCGGCGCAGAAAATGTTGTCAAATTAGGGTCTTATATTGATTTGGGAGAGTTCAGAAAATCAATTTGATTGAACTAAAAAAAGGTCGACAATTTTTTTTTTAAATCCGCCCCCTCGAGATATTCTAGGTCCGCGCCTGATAATAGGTCTGAATTTTCACAAGACTACGCTTCAACCACAAATACTTTAAGCCCTAGCTTTCGAAGCTTAGCTAACAAAAATTAATCAATATCCAAAACCTTAACTGAACAAGAATAGCCGGTTACACACAATGCTCCTACCATAGTCTTAAAAATACCACAAAAAGTTTTTTCATATTAGGGTCGTTTTTTTTTGACGTGGTGTGATAAAAGGAGCTGAAAAAAAACTAGAAATTAGGCATATTCGCCAATCATACTGAAATCAGCAAACTGAAAAACAATTTTTGTGGAAAAACGGAAAAAAAAAACAAAACAAAGTTTCATCTTTTTTGTCAGATAATTGAGTTTTTGAAGTTTGACTCCATCCAAAAAGGCACTTAAATACTCAAAAAACTAGTTTTATTTGAGTAAAACTAAGTTTTTACGCTTTACATTTAGCTATTGTAAGCTTTAAAGCCATTAA